TTTTGCTCAATTTTAATTTTATTTTATGCTCAGGTAGTGTGTAATTCATAGAACAGCTATTATCTAATTTTAAGAAGCGCTTAATCGGCTGCTCGCGACCAAGGCTCGCTCTCGTTTCCCGAAAAATTTTTGAGATGTGCTCGGTTCTGAAAAATAATTATCTGCTGAATTGATTAACGACTGACGAGTCTTATAGGAACAATATACGTCAATGGGAGATAGAGGTAACATTTTACTCTGATTTTACCTATGAATTTTACTTAATATAATATAGTTTGATTATAATGTTTGTATCAAAATTTCTTAAAATATCAAGTTAGTTAATAGCAATTTTAGACATATATTTGTTGTCGAAGATGTGGTGATAAGAACTAAAAATTGGTAGTGTTTTATTCATTATTCTCTTTAGAAAAGATGGTTTGTGATCGTAGAGGTATCATTACATTATTTAATATCGTGTAACTTTGAGTTATTAAAATTTCTTAATCTGAGAATATCTTATTTCCCTATAATGCCGAATCTTGACAATTATGGTGATAATTTTGATACCATAATTAGATTATAATTACGCACGTCGTTGTACAAGATTAAAATTAAGACTTAGTTAGTAGTTTCGATTTATATTAAGATCTTTGATTATAATATTGTGTTTATGTCTTGTCTTATTTGAAATATTATGCTTTGTCTGGAAAATAAATGCGGTGGGCGTGTCTGATTATTGCTAGGTACATTTCTATTATATGAGTTACTATTTTGTTCGTATTGCCTAAGCTGTCTACACTGTGATGTTAAATGATTATTTTAAAACAAAATAAACAGGAAATTATTAGAAGAATGATTGTTCAAATATCTTAATTTTGCATATCCTATTCCATGCTTCCATTAGGAAAATATGGTTTATAAATCATATATGCTAAAGAAAATCAAGCATAAATTAGGATTGTAAGAATAGAAATCTTAAGGTTTAGAAATGCAATATATGTATAAGCAGAATTAAACAAGGTAACTGTTAATGTAATGATGAAGCTGATTCTACAATATGTAGTATTTTCGGCAATAAAACGCCTTTGAATTTTTCCGTAGTTGATGGAATTTTCTAAAAGTATTGACTACATGGGCTAGTTTAAAAATCTAAAAAAAACAGTAGACACATCCCTTTTGCATAATTTAAGTGACACGTTTAATTAAGCCCTTTTTAAACGTAGCATTTGTAATCTAGAGCATATTAGATTAATTACAATAATCTAGTGTTTTATTCATTTAATTTTATGACTAGAAAATACATAATAAGCGTTCACGTGTTGTGCGTAAAGTATTAAAATAATAATATTTTGGTTCTTCCCAATTTTGAAACTGTTTATATTGTGTTACCTCTTGTGCCTCCCTTTTAATTTAGTACCAAAAATTAAATCTACTAGTAATTCTTTTTTGATCCTTTGACAATTTTTAATATTGAATCAGCAATTTTATGAAAATGAAGATCGCTGTCATTTTATATTGGAAATGTCCATCAAATGAATTTATTAAATTCAAAATTTATCAGTTGCGTCTTTTCGATCCTACCATTATTATATTTGACAAATGATTTACTACTTTAGCACATATTTGTTTTCTCTATTTTTAAATATTTCCATTTTAACTTTGAAGAGAGAATCGAAGATGTACGCATGCGTAGCAATATTTGTGACTATATGCAGCAAAACTCGTTTCAATTGTCTTAACTTAAATCCACACCAACTACCAAAGAGTAGATAGAAAAAGAGACGACAGTGAACAATAGAAGTCAAACAAATGAGAGACTTTAGATATCATTATCTGGTGAAAACAAAGCTTCCCATGGAGAGTCCCTGCTTTGTCTGTTGCTCAGTGTCCCCAATGTCTACGTCTCGTGTCGGGCTTCTTGCTGCTTCTTGGTGCACCTTCAAGAACTGCCCGTTGCCTCTATCTTCTTCCAAAAACTGGTAGGTTTTCAGTAACGTATATTAATACGGAAATGTAAAATTTTAGTTTAGGTTCTTTTTTCGCAATGCCACTGATAATGATCAAAGAAATAGACCAACTTCGTTGATCTTGTAGTCGCAAAGATAAACAGATAAAGTTCTCTATTTGACTCTATCACCACTTGTTGGGATCTTATCTAACCTATTTTTTTTATAATTAAATTCTTAGTTAATTATTCTTAGTTTTTATTTTATGCTTTTTATCACAAAATATAATTTAGGCTTAAACGTCTATAAAACAAAATTTTGATTAGTTGTTTTCTTGCATTTTGTGCTTTTTAAAGTGTGTTTTCTCCCAGAGTTTTTCGATATATTATCGTTTTGAGTTCTTAAGGTTTAATTTTTAGGTCGTTTTGTTGCGGGACCAAACATGACCATTTCTTAAATAAATAGAAACCAGACACCGAACAAAGTACACGAGTAGCAGGAAGGAAGACTAAAAAATGATGCAACTATTTGTGACTATTTCTTCCAAATTTCATCTTAAGGTAAATGGTTCCACTTTATTTGCATCACCCATCTTTCTGAAAGAATAATAAAATAGGTCTTATTTTTCGTACCTTAAACATTCTTAGTTCACTCCTTTCCCAAGGATCCTGAAAAGTATTTTATACAAATTGTCGAATATATATACATTAACCATAATAAACTAAATGTTCACATCCAAGATCGAAGACATGGTTAGAAGCTTGTAATCGCGAGGATTTATTAAATAAAAATTGAGCAACTCTATTTTTTTGTACATAAACTCCACATTGTGATATTACACTTGTTCAAGTCCATATGTAAAAAAAAATGCACGTAAATAAAACATTTCTTACAAATCGACTTGGTCACTTTCTCTTGTTTACCAACGATATACAAAATATTGCTTTTATTATCTTTATTCCCCGACAAATATGTTTCTAATTATAATTAATTTTATATAATATTTAGAAAACTCATTTTTTTTGTTTCTATTTATTTCTTTACCCATACAGTAACTATTTATAAGCTATACAGGCAAGTTTGTATAATAGTCTATTTCAAATTACCCGCGAAAAAATTACGAAAATTTAAAGGGACAAGCGAGACGAGGTCACTCTCCCCACCACTCAAACATGAAAGGTACCGCGCGAACTGTCGTCTCTTGTCTTATCTACTCTTTGCCATTACCTTAAGACAAATACGTTTAAAGGTAATGGTGTGGATCCGGTGGCTGACCTTGAAACGAGTTTCTGCTGCATATAGCCACAGACACTACGCATGCGCACATCTTCGATGTTGCCAGATTGTAAGTTATTTTGGAATTATTTTCAGTAGAAAACAAATATGTGCTCTGAGTGTTTTGTGTCAATATATACCGTATGATCGAAAAAACGGCGTCCAGTTGGCTGGGAAATGACGATTGAGGACATTTCCCATATAAAATGACAGCGATCTTCATTTCATAGTCATCGCTGACGCTATTTTTTTTTCAATCATAGTACGCGGTATATTATTTATATCAAGGATTTATATATTATTTTAATATTTCGCACAACACGTGAACGCTTATTATGTATTTTCATAGTCAATAAAATTAAATAGAAATAAAACTCTAGATTCCTATAATTAATCTAATTACTCTAGATTATTATGCTACGTTTAAAAAGGGCTTTATTAAAAATTCAAGGAAATTATATGTCCAAGTTCTTCCTTTTTTTAATTTTTTAAATGCTGTAGCTCCATGTCATGTTCATAATAGGTTTTCTGCTACTTTAAGATTTCTCTATTCTGACACCTAATTTATGTGATTTTCTTAGCTATAATATGATTTATAAACCATATTTTTCCTAATGGAAGGATGGAATAGGATATGCAAAATTAAGATATTTTAACATTTATTTTCCAGGCAAAGCATAATATAGTATTAAGATTAAGACATAATAAATATTATAAGAAAGATCTTAATATAAATCACAAACTAAGTCTTAATTTGGTCTTGTATAAACACAGGTATAAAACTAATAAGATCAAACTCAACCTTCACCATATTGTCAAGATTTGGCATTATAGGAAACAAGAAATTGCAGTAAATTAAGAAAAAGAATATCAAAGTACACCATATTAAATACTGTAATGTATTCTACGACACAAACCATCTCCCTTCTAAAGAGAAAAAGATAAAACAAAGCTTATTTTAGTCTTATCAACACTCTTCGATAAAATATATGTCTAAAATTGCTATTAATCCACTAACTTGATATTTTTAAGTAATTATATGATACAAACATTACAATCAAATTATATTATATTAGTAACATTATAGGTAAAATATGTTATCTCTATCTCCCATTGACGTTTATTGTTCTATAAGATTCGTCATGGTAATATTTCAAAACATCAATATACATATAATGAAAACTATTGTTGCCTGTAAATAACTAGAAATTAAATAACTTGAAAGAAATAAAATAATTCTAATAAGTTTAAAACCATTAAGAAAAAATCCGTAAATGATAATTTTTAATTCTAATGTAAATATATAAATAAATATTATTATTATTCAACCACTTCCATATCTCTGTTATTATTACGTACAATTTTATATATTCATAATACTTTCATTTACACAGTCTTCATTATCCTTCTTACCTTAATTTTGGATATCAAGATAAATGTGAAATTATAAAATTAATTACAGAATTTGTATTATTATTATTGATTAACACTCAAAAAAAAATCAACTGCAAATAATTCGAAAATAAACTGCAATTTGGCAACATCGACGATGTGCGCTTGCGTAGTATCGATGATCAAATGCTGCAAATATGGCCTTCAAGGTCAGCCACCGGATCCACACCTTTACCCGTTTAAATTTACATTGTTTACATTTTTATTTGAACGTATTTGCCTTAAGATGTTTTTTGTCTCCTTCCGGCAAATAAAAACAACAATTTTAATGTGAGGGCGAATTTACAGATTCCTATATATTGATTTTATTGAGTTGCAATAAGTGGTCTACAGGTGGAGCCATAGAGACATGTCAAAAATGTTTGTTTCGTGCTAAAAATGATAATTTTCTAAAACATTAGAATTAACAGAAGTAAATACACTACACGGCAATAATTGGCAGTACCTTATTTATTATGTAAAATATATCACATTTCTGTTCTCTACATCTTAAACATTAAGAGAAACAGTAGAAACTAAATTCATTTTGTCAACATAAAGCGTCTGCCATGATGTTTTAAGCGTCGTTTTGGTGTGAGCAGATCTCGAGTTTTTGTATAATGAAGATAAATTGGCCCCAAATTGGAAGTGAATTGGTAATGGTGCAATTTAGTGTTTTTTCAGCAACTTATTATTTATTTGTTTTGTTCTATATAAGTCAGTTTATATGTTAAAAATCAATATAGAAAAAGCCATTTAAATGACAATGAACAAAGTTCGCCATAGAGTATTTCGGTCGAAATTTCGAATTTATTAAAATAAATATGCAATAAAAATTAATATTTGATTAGGTTCGTGTTTCTGATTTTCAATTTTTGTAAAAATTTTATTATCACAACAAATATAGTATTTGGGGAGTGTCAAAATATTGACATTAAAGGCAAAAAAGTTGAAATAGAAGGTCATTTGATGAATATACTTATGTTGTCAATTTCGGTTTGACATTGACCTTGCATTTAAGGGCTGCACACTGCCCACTGCCCACTTCAATGAATTACATTGTGTTATTACTTATATATACCATATGATCGAAAAAATCGGCGACTAGTTGTCTTGGAAATGACGGTCAATGACATTCCCCATTTAATTTTACATATAAAATGACAGCGATCCTCATTTCAAAGCCATCTCTGACGCTGTTTTTTCTAGTACTGTACTTGCACATTATGTATTTTATGCTACAATGTAACTCGATTAACTCACTCAGTCTTTTTATAGTAACAAGAATCAGAATGGTTGTGGATGTGCCTACGAGGTCTCTTCAAAATCTGAAAATGCAGCCTGCTTGTATGACTCCAAAAGAACTTTCCGAGAATGATGACTTGGCTACAGCTTTAGTTCTTGATCCGCATTTAGGATTTACATCACACAAAATGAATGTTCGTTATAGACCGCTCAAAGCTAATACATCACACTTGAAAAAGTTAATCGATGATTTCATTAAAGATCAGGATTATGAAAAAGTTTATAGTTATCTTTCAAGAGGTGAATGGATGCCTAAAATCAGATCAAAAAACCAGCAGAAAAAGCTTCAGGAACATGTAAGCTTGTTATCATTTTTTACAGTTGTGGCTGGTCCTAAAGGACACAAGGGCACCTGCCTACCCATTCGTGAAGATAACAGGAATAAAATAAGTATATAGGGTGTTTCTGAATAAGTGTTTGACATTTCACAGACTGATTTTTCAAATATTTTTAAGGTAAAAATTTCATATATAAAGGTGTTCTAAAATGTTTCGCTTTCGAGATACAGTGTGTCAAATGTCAAAAGTTTTGAGAAAAAAATATTTTTTCTTATTATGTCCAGAGCCTCTCTACATTTTTTTTAGGAAATATGGTATATGTCTTTTCCTTATTAAGGGGTATCTTTGATGAAAAATATTTTCTTAAATTTTTACCAGTACCATTCGTTAACGAATTTTACATATCAAACACCATAATACAATATTTTAGCTACTTTATTAGTACATTTAAATGGTTTTTATTTTTTTAGGCAAAACCCATACATCTGACAAGAAAGCCAAGATACAAAATTTGTTCTAAAATGATTGGGGATTCTAAAAATAATTTATTTTTAGAATATAATTTTATTTTAAGAAATATCGTGGGTATTATTTTTCTTTTCAATATTATTTAGTCGATACCCCGACGAACGCCACTGGTAAAAATTTGAGAAATTATTTTTCATTGAATAATGCCGAAAAGACGTACTAAATCTTATAAAAAATATAGTTTTTAGTGGCTCCAAAGTTTTTCTGACAAAAAAATATTTTTTTCTCAAAGCTTTTGACACACTATCTCAAAAACGAAACATTTTACAATGCCTGTTAATATGAACTTTTTAACTTAAAAAGAACCCTGTGAAATATTGGACACTAATTAAGAAACACCCTGTATAATTGAGTGCATAATGAAATTTTTTTATATCACATTTTATACAATCAGACAATGAGACAATGATGTCATTTCCAGCAGGAACTATAGAAGGATAGAAGTTATGTACCTACTAAAAATAGTAGATAAGCTTTTTTCTTGTGGAGACTGCCTTCATCGTCCTTTAGAACTCACGAGCCGCCACTGATTTTATGTACTAAAATATTTTATACTAAATATTATACATTTTCTTTATGATACATATCCTTATGAAAGTGCTTATACATTCTACTTTTGTTATTAATGTCCTGGCAAGCATGCTGGTGCTAAATGAATAATTTATTGATATTTATATATTAATATTATAATAATATTATTATACATATACAGGGTGTCCCAATATTCCGTGGACATAGACTACGTATTTTTGGAATCAAAATAAATTCATTGAACACAATTTACGTCTCTACAAACTTTTGCACTTGCTTCGTTTGTCCGCTAGAGGGCATTAAACTTTAAAAATATAAACACATTTTTTAAGATCTTTTAAGTACCGTTATTCCAATTTGAATGAGATTTTGGACTATGTTTTGCTAAGTGCTTTAACATTTGACTTTCACAAAAATCAAGAAGTACGAGAAGGGTGAAAATTACCCCCACCCCTACATAAACTTTAGTGTAAATATTTTTCAACTCCACCGACGACAGATCTTCTTTTCGTAAAATGATTCCTCTAGTATTTACTACATTTTCTGTCTCTTGTAAAAAAACGCCAAATCGCATTGTTTTTGAGAAAAAAATTTTTGGACAATTTATTTTCCCAAAGCAGAGACGTTCAACATATACAGGGAGTTCCAATATTCCGTGGACATAGTAGAAGTATTTTTTAAATCAAAATTAGTTAATTAATTGCACATAATTTACCTTTGTACAAAAGTGCTTCGTTTGTCTGTTAGAGGGTATCAACTTAAATTTAAAGGCGTAAATTTTGATGAAATAATATATTTTGTTTCAAACTAAACTCGAACGTTAATTTAAAATTTATTTTTTTTTAAGCTTTTAATCAAGCTTATTATCAAATATAATTTGTGGTACTAGTATAAAATTCCATATTTTCGCCAACTAGATTATTAGAGCATAATAGATTTTATATTTTATGTGCCTCCATTGCTTGATGTGACAAAAACATTTTTTTGGAAATGCTTCGGAAAAATATTCTTTTCCTTAAAAAGTATGCGCGGTGGCGTTTTTTACAAGAGACAAACAATTTAGTAAATACTAGAAGGACCATTTTAGGAAAAAAAAATTGGTCGTCGGTTAAGTTGGAAAGTACATATTTATATTAAAACTTATGTAGGGGTGGGGGTAGTTTTCACCTTTTCCGTACTTCTTGATTTTTGTGAGAGTCAAATGTTAAGGCACTTAGCAAACCATAGACACCCCAAATTTTAAGCAAATCAGAATAACGGTTCTTGAAATATCTAAAAAAAATAAAAAAATGTGTTTATTTTTTTAAATTTTGACGCCCTCTAACGGACAAACGAAGCACTTTTGTATAGAGGTAAATTGTGTCCAATGAACTTATTTTGATTACAAAAATACGTAGTAATTCTATGTCCACGGAATATTGGGACACCCTGTATAATTTATATTAGTATTTTCTACATAAAATTATGGAATTGTGAAGAAGATATTAAGTGTAATTGTTAAAACCGTAATGCAATAATATTACACACACATTTCTGGTCTTTATACAGGGTTATTCAGGATAGTATTATTAGGCGTAGTATTATTATTGTAGCTAAATTATTAGATTTTTATCAATTGTTGTGTTAGAGTAATTTGGGCTACTACCGTATGATCGAAAAAAACGGCCTCCAATTGTCTTGGAAATGACGATTGATGACATTTCCCATATAATTTTATATATAAAATGACAGCGATCTTCAGGGATGGGTAACGACGCGAAGAAAATTAATTTTCTTCGTGTATGTAGAAAAGAAGAAGAGTGCATAGAAAATGTATAAAATCTGAGAACTGGTACAAAATTACGGTATATTTAAAGCCGTTTTTTTAGTTTAGAAGTTTCTTATTCTATGATGGTACTAACTCCCTGAAGATAAGAGACAGTAATCGATTTGAAGACTATTAGAATATTTTTTTCTATTTAATCTGAGGACAGTACAGAAAAGACTGATTTTTTTTTCTTTGAAAGTTTTTATTAATTTTTTTTTAGTTTTATCATAGAAAGCCCTGTGGTTTCTTAAACTATATACATACACTGTGTCAATTTTAAAACTTCCCACCCTTAATATATTTCTTTCAGTTAAAAATATGAAAAATCGGAAAGATACGTCAATTTTATTTGTAACGGGGACACTTTAAATTAATATTTTTAGCCTTTTTCTTTCAACCCCCTAGGAGGGGTAGATGTCACCCTTACAATCTTAAATGGGAATGGGGGTCAAGTGACACATCGTTTTAAAGGGCTTTTAATTATCTTTTCAGTGGTACCCTACTTTGTTGCTTTTTGTCCAGAGGTTTCCGAATAATCGCGTTCCAAAGTTACAGAAACAATTAAATATGCCTGCATTGAGATTTTGGTTTTCAGGCTAGTATGTGTTTACACAAAAATTATTGCAGTGGGTCTCCTTGTAGTACAAATAAATTATTAGAAGATAGGTGGTAACATGGACGTAGCCATTACATTTTTCTAGGGGTGTCAAAATACTAATAAACAGAAAACATCATAACCATTAACGTTTCTTTTCTCAAATTATTTATTATTTTTCTCAAACCCTCATATTTTTAGAGAAGGACATACACAATATCCCCAAAAAGTTAATGTTTGGGCTGGTGTTTTTGGAAATGCTTGAATGAATTGGTCCTTTATTTATTGAAGGAAACTTCTAACTCAAATTGATGCAGAGGGTAATGCAGTTTTACAGGAGGATTTGTTAACATTCCAGAAGGACGGTGCTCCACCTCATTTTCTTCCGGTCCGACAGTGGTTAAATGAGAGATTTCCGGGTACATGGATTGGCCGAAGTGGACCAATTGAATGGCCTCCAAGATAACCGGATTTAACACCCTTAGACTTCTTTCTTTTGGGACATCTTAAATCCAATGTTTATAAAACACAACCTACTGATATTGATGATCGTAAAAGGCGAATTACAGCAGAATGCCGGTCAATTCCCGGTGAAGTTTACCGAAATGTTAGGGAGGAGTTTGAAAAGAGACTATTATTGTTTACAGGAAAATGGACAACATTTTGAACAACTTATAAGATAGGGCATGTAGTAAGTGGTGTAACCTTATATTCTAATCATTTGTACTACAAGGAGATCCATTGCAATCATTTTTGTGTAAACACACTATCCTGAAAACCAAAATCTCAATGCAGACATATTTAATTGTTTCTGCAACTTTGAAACACGATTATTCGGAAACCTCTGGAAAAAAGCTACAAAGTAGGATACCACTAAAAAGAGAATTAAACGCCCTTTAAAACGATGTGCCACTTGACCCCCATTCCCATTTAAGATTGTAAGAGTGACATCTACCCCTCCTAGGGGGTTGAAAGAAAATAGCTAAAAATATTCATTTAAAGTATCCCCCTCTCAAATAAAATTGACGTGTCTTTACGATTTTTTTATAATTTTAACTGCAAGAAAGATATTAAGGGTGGGAAGTTTTAAAATTGACACAGTGTATAATAATAACTAGTGTAGTGTGTAGTTCTTACTTTCATTATGTTTGATGTTTTCACAGTTTACAGAATCACACAGAATTATTCTGTAAAGTTTAATCTAACATTGAATTTTTTTTTAAACGTAAAACATACTATAGCAAAGTTTATAGTGTGTCTAACAATATAGGGAAGATTTCGACAGACGACGTCCAAAAAATGACACAAAAAATACGATATGCCTATGCATTATACTGACACGAATCCTCCCGAAATTAATAGTTTTTTTGACATACCATATACTATCCATTTGTAGATATATCGTTATTAGTTTATTTCTCGTACTAATCGTTGTGATTAAAGTATTTGAAATAAATATAAACTCAAAAATGGCTTACAATATACAAAACTAATTTTCTACGTCTGGATATGTAAAAAATGTAGAAAATTAGTTGGTGTAGAAAATTAATTTTTTGCGTGTAAAAATTACGGTAGATTATAAAAAAAAATTCTACCGATTGGGTACGTTTACAGATTGTGTTATTACTTGTATATACCATATGATCGAAAAAACCGGCGACTAGTTGTCTTGCCCTAAATTATTTATTAATATTATATATTTTATATAATATTTATACATTTATATATAAAAACCAGCTGTTATGTTTGGTGCCGGAGTCGGCGCCCGTTCCGACAGTTGTATTTAATTTTATTGTATTTGTTTTTATTGTTTTCATCTAGTTTTTTCCTAGCTTGTCTTGGCCGGTTGAAAGATGCCCAAATCGTATTTTTAATCATATCTCAATTTTTTCACTCACTTGGTATTTCGAGTCAAATTGTCGTTATGAACCGCATGTTACAATTTCAAATAAACCATATGAGAAAATGTCAAAAGTTGATATATGATATGTCATTCTATTCAGAGTGTCATTTTCTATCGAATAAAGTAGAAACATACCGAGTGTGCCATTTAAAAATTAAAAGTTGTAATCATTTCCGGTGAAACAGGAAATTAAATATGTCAATAAATCCTAATTTATGCCATATACTAACATACCAAATCTCGTTTTTTTATCTGAAAAATTAAAAAAGTTATAGGGGGTAGGGTTTCCATACGTCCGGATTTACTCGGACATGTATAGTACCGTATGATCGAGAAAAAACGGCGTCCAGTTGGCTTGGAAATGACGATCGATGACATTCCCCATTTAATTTTACATATAAACTGACAGCGACCCTCATTTCATAGCCAACGCTGACGCTGTTTTTTTTTTCGATCATACGGTATATTCAAAACATTTCAGTGCTTATACTATTTTTTGGCCTTTAAAGCTTAAATAGGTCTAGGGAAAGGAAGCTTAAAATAATTGTTATTTTTTTTACTAAATTTTCACAAAATTGTTTTCAAAAACGGTAAGATTTAAGTGAGATAAACCTTAATCAAATTACCTTTATTTTAATTATTGTAGAAATTAAAAATTTGTAATATACAGTTTTAAATTGGGACACTATACCTAATAAAAATAATATAAATTTGTAGCTCTAATAGTCCTACAATGACACCGACAATAACAATTGAAGGGTTCAGGGGAAAACATATAAGCGTCAATTTCTTTCTTAATTTAGGGTTTTACAATATTATACTAGATCTATCTGGCCCCTACAAAATGTAAAAGCTCTGCAGGGCATTAATTTGTTAAATCCTATGATATATGCCCAGTAAAAATATACATACAGGGAAAGATCCTGATCCTCTCCTGTAAAATTATTAAAATGGCGCTTATCGTGATTTTCCCCTGTATCCTTCAATTTCTATATGTCTGACAATTTAGCAACAATACGCGTCATATAATGCGATTAACCCTGTTAAATTAAATAAGTATAAATGTTTCTTGTAAAATATAATAACAAAATAAATAATTAGTCATCTCAATAATAACACAAGTGTGCTTGATAGATTTAAAAAAGTTGCAAAATAGTACATAGATCCAGTTCATCCTTGTTAATTATTTGTTTTATTAGATTTATAGGTATCTTAGAGTATTTGATAGAGACTCAGGTTTTGTAATAGAACCATGCTATAGATACTCCTTAGAAGGTCAAAAAGGGGCAAAAATATCAGCTACAAAGAGGTGGTACAAGAATGATAAAATTGAATGTCTAGTAGGGTGTATAGCAGAGTTAACTGAGCAAGAAGAAAAACAACTTCTTCATCCAGGAAAAAATGATTTTTCTGTTATGTACAGCTGTAGAAAAAACTGTGCTCAACTTTGGTTAGGACCTGCTGCATATATTAATCATGACTGTAGAGCAAATTGTAAATTTGTTGCTACTGGACGTGACACTGCTTGTGTTAAAGTTTTGAGAGACATTGAAGTTGGTGAAGAGATTACCTGTTTTTATGGAGAAGATTTTTTTGGTGATAAAAATTGTTACTGTGAGTGTGAAACATGTGAAAGAAGAAAAATGGGCGCATTTGCAAAAGAATCTGAACAAAAGGAAGAAAACGGTTACAGGTTAAGAGAGACTGACAATAGACTAAATAGGACTAAAACTAAAGTAATACACAATAATCATAAAGAAGAAAATCAATATAATGATTGTTTGCAAAATAATAAAGTTGTTACTCCCTTAAGCATAAAAGAACTGCGTCAAAAGGGTCTTACTAAATATGATGCTGAAATGCTAATAGCACAAGGTACCTATGATTAAAAATAAATGGCGTCATGGTCAAAATTGATATAAAAACTTGTCTAAAGTTACACTTTAATATAGAAAAATGTAAAGTATATCTAGTAGAAATGGTGTGATTCAAGTGTGTGGTAAAACTAGTAATTTGAAAATTTGATTTGTTGTTTGTTATCACTACTTACTAATTTCTGTATAAAATATTTTTTTGGTTAAGTTTTTTGTCAGTGCGTAATAAATGACTTCTAGAGGTCTATCCGAGATATATTACCAATATTCGTATTTTCAAAAGTAACTGTGACGCCGTTTTTATTCAGCTACAACGTATTATACTGGATGACAATGACTCGATTCACATTTACTTCTTTTTTTCTCATATAGGTATGTTTACTTCATATAAATTTAAAACTTGGGTATAATAATATATTGATCAAAAATCATCACATTTTCCATTAAAAAGAGTTGAATATTACTTCCGGTTTAACCGGAAGTTGTCGTAAGCAAAGGATCTTAAATAGCTCCTGTATATATTTTTATATACTTAAATATGTCACAAGTTGGTTTTATTTTTCTAAATGGCGTCGTAGAGCGGATTTATTCCAAATTTAGTATGGCGAGATTTGAGGTTACTAATAATCATTATGTTAAACCAGTCCTTTCGTCAAACTATCTTTTTCGGTGTTACGTTAATGTCAATTCTTTGTTGGTCCAGTCTATTTTCTCCAGCGAAAAATTCTTCTTAATATTCTTTCAAATCAGATGGCCTTGTCTTTTAAGTCTTCTTGTAGATGTTTTTTAAGTCTTGTTCTGTTGTGTGTGTTCATCTTGGTTAAAATGAGATCAATTTCATTCCTAGTTTCGCCATTACGAGCTTGCAATGCATATTTTCTATTTGGATTCTTCTTAAACTATGTATTGACTACGAACAGGTTTGATGATATGCATATATTACAGATCTGTGTCCTCTGTCCTCTTTTATTTCACCCCCAATTCCAAATTTTCCCACTTGTTCTTGTTCTTGTCCCCTGTCAGATACTTGAAATAGTATAGTAAGTTTTTCCTACGAGCCCGGCAACAGTGCGTCGGGCATCTCTAGCTCCTATAATAAAAAACTTAGGAATTTCGTATAATTGCCAACACTTACAGGATGAGTTTCAGGAAAATATTTTAACTTTTACAGGGTAGCTCAAAAAAGTGCGAGTGGATCGGGATGATTTTTTTTAAATGGAACATAAAAATACTTGTATATTAGCCTCTCATTACCCCTGTATATTATTGCATTTTTGGCTTCCTTTCTGATCACTTTACATAATCCTAAGATATTAAATATGTTTTTGTAATTTATTTATGATCTATATGAAAAAAATATACTGGGTGTAATTTAAAATACTAAGTTTGAGCCTCTCTTCCAATTAAACAAGAAGCAGATTTCAATTGTTTTTTAATGAAAAATATTCGTTTTTATAGACTATATATTATGTTGTATCCAATTTTAAATATATTTGATTAAAGAGAATTAAATGAAGATCTGTGCAGGGATTACATTGTCACCTAGTATATTGAGTATACAATATTATATAGTCGGAGTTGAATTTTTAGGTTGTAAGTTTTCTGATATTGGAGAATTTCAAACTTTGAAACGAAGTAGCCGTAGTAGTTCAGGTTCAAATAGCAGTGAGAATAATAAAAGCTGTACTGAAAAAAAATCTGTGATAAATAGGGAGACGAAAATCTCATCTGTAAGTTCTAGGACAGCGCGTTTACAAAGAAGGCAAGCACAAAGAGCAAATCAGGTAATACTGTTTAGGCACAACATTTTAGCACTTATTGTAACATTTGTGTACAGACAAATGCTGATTTTGGACAGTATAAAGCACATGTGGATGGCTATTTTTAGGAACTAATGCAAGCCGCTACACAAGGCATTTCCAGATCAAATTTGTTAGATGATTTGCAAAGTAATGCAAGCAGTTGTCCAAGTACTTTTAGTGATAATGATCCAGTCTGTGATGCAACTCAACAAAACAAGTTATTTAATGACAGCCATGAAAGTGGTAAACTAGGTAAAACATTTTTCAATAATTTATGATTCTAAATCTTTTTAACAGTTGAAAAGGACATGGAAATCCAAATTACGATTTTTTTAATTAAATTTTAAGTGCCTTAAAATGGCTTGTAACTTTGAAAATGTTCTTTTATTTGTAACTTATTGTTTATCTCAGTAAGTTTTACCCGATCTCAAATGCCTTAAAAATTAGACATTAATATAGATTCAATAGGATATTACCAAGATTTCTAACATACCCGATATTACAACCAATCGAAATAAAACTAAAAAGTTACAATTGAACTGTAAATAAAATAGCTTATTCTCATTCAGTATCTACTACCAACTGACAATAATAACAGAATCTAACGTTTTTGCATATCTTTATTATGATTTAGCCAATTTTTTAAATAAAAAATCAAAGTCTGACATTTCAAGTTCAGAGTAATGGCGTGTTTGACCTCACTTATGGAAAACGAATTCACGAAAGGTGATGATTGCTTCAGAATCTTTTTTTTTTCGGAAATTATATTGGATGTTATTCGCAGCGTAGACGAACAACGCTTGTAACTGTTCCACTACAACATAATAAATTTCAATATTTTAACGTATTGTTGCGTTTTTCGTCGGTTCCGTGTGGATAGAAAGTCACGATTTATTTAAACACAATTTATTTAACACTAATTAACAAAATAAAACAATAACGATAAAAGACTTAAAGAACTATTTATAACTTATTTACAATTTATCTAACTATTTATCTAACAGGAATTTATTTTGAATATAGCGCGGCGATTGTAGCTGTACGCGTTGACCGGTTGTTTTTCTCTGTCCTCCTCAGGCCTCAGGCGTCTGCTTATATATGAGAGCAACAGACAATCCAGATTTGTCTCGACAATTCTTATTCGTTCTAGAACGTCGGCGTCGCTGGGCGTATGAGTCATAGGCGAGTGGCCAGGCCTAAGGCCGAGTTCACACGGCACGGGTCCGCAACAGTATTTAATAATAGGAATAAATAATACAGAATCAAGTACGCTAGAATGGTCGTTCTTTAGTGACACTCATCCTCTGTTGCTTTTCTCGTTTAATGTTCATGAGTGACTTAAATTAGTGAAAATATGAAAATATTTTACAATAAAAACCAATAAGTTGTTCTTCAACTGTTTAAAGATTTAGAATCAGGTCTCCATAGTTAATTTAGCCTCTGCGAATAATTATTAATTTTCAGAAGTGACTTCAGAGGAATCTGCAGGAATTACTTTAAGAAATCATAAATGTCTAGGTGATTTGATGTTAGATTCAACTAGCTCTTTGTCAGCTGCTTTGGAATTAGATTGTCAAGAATGCAATGGAGTTAACAATAATCACACTTTGAAAAGAACTTGCAATTTAGATAGAAATAGAAAAATTTCAAAGTAAGTGTTTTTCAATTTTTTTTTGTTTCTACGCAAGAGAAAAAAATAATAATTTTTTACTTTATGGCAATCATGTCGGACTATTTTCATATTTTTAATACAGATACGATTATGAATGTAAATGGGAAAAACGATGAAATTCGGTTTTGACTAATACTCTGGGCTGACTTTTTTAGTTAGATTTATTTTATTGGTGAATTTTACTGCGGATCAGCAAAATAGTTCATCACATTAAAATTAAAATTAAGAAGGCGTCCTTTAGGCGGCACACATCATAATCCCAACCCGAAGCTATTTTTTTCAGTAAAATTCTGCCTCGTTGTAGTTTCCTGTGATACGCATTGTATTAAGTGGGATTTTAATTTTAATTGGGCAAGGGTGTTTAGATAATGGACGGTCGACATTGTTGACTTTTCTTGTACTACTAGCAATACAAAAAAAATCGACAATTAAATCAAAAATGATGAGTTATCAAAGAATATACCAGTTAAATATAAAACTGCCTCTGCACTATTCTCGAAATAACCCGAAGTAGGTAAAGATCTAACAGTGAAGGGTGATTTCGTAGTTCCTCGTCTACCTTTACCTGGTCTCGGCTTATTTTCATTTGACGAAATAACTCTCTTCACCGTTCGACTTTGATCTATTTCGGCCTATTTCACCAGTAGTGTAGTGGTTTAGAATGTACCGGGTAGCCAACTAAGAATGGACGCCGGCTGTATTTCAGAAACTACTTATCGTATCACTTTGGGAAAAAAATTATATTTATATATAAAGTAAATCGACCAAGAGAAATCGCTGGAAATTATTTTCAAGTTCGAAAAATGTCCGCTGGGGGGCGTTTCTCTGATAGCCAAACAGAAAACAGGGGTTTTCTCAAAATAATTCAGGTGAACAGGTATTTTAAATATTACTATTGTAATCATCGAGAAATTTGTAATTTTTTTGATATAGAGTGTTTTGCTCTATCTCATAAAATAAAATGGTGGGGAAGGTTAAACTTGCTTTTATTAAAATAAGGATAACTCGTCTGGTTTGGGTTACCCGGTTCAAACAAACTAGGGCTCGTTTAAAAGAGCTTTTCTTCCTTAATAGTCTTCAGTAGAAATGTTGTTTCCATAATTTTTGTCGTGGTATCTAGAGGGCGCTATAACAGATATTGCGCTTTTGCATAAAAAATTTAAATAGAAGGCTATATTTCTCTTTGCACAGTTAAATAGAGCACAAAATTTCCAATATACAAGGTCAAACCGCAACTTTCTATCTTCTTTCTAACCGGAGATATTAAGAGAACAAATCATGTTAGGCTGCCGCTTAGGATTATATGGTCTAAAAATTATAGTAGTAGGCTAGGAAACAAAAAGAGGTAAACTGGTTACGTCAAAATATCAAAACATATATTTTAATTTCATTTTAATACCATTTAATTGTTATTTATCCATGTTCGTTCATGATTCGACCCCATAAATTAAAACCCAGGCATATTGAATCCCATGACCTAGCTGGCCGTGGAAATATGCCGCTCCAGCGTCTCTATCAACTAAAGTAAGTGGTATCCAGAAGCCCCGCACATAGCAAAATAAGCGGCACAACTGTATCAACTACACCAACTGCATTCATGATGCCCTTACATTCATGATCCCCTTACAAAATTGGCAATTCATTTCTTAGAAATTATGGATAGTTCATTTCATTCAGATAATTAAAAAAGTCCAATCATTTGCCATCCTAGAATTACTGCCTAGAAAACGCCCGAAATTCGGATGCATAAAAACTGAACTTAAACGTTTTGATATTTTGATGTAACCAATTTACCGCTTTTTGTTTCCTAGCCTACTACTATAATTTTTAGACCATATAATCCTAAGCGGCAGCCTAACATGATTTGTTCTCTTAATATCTCCGTTTAGAGAGGAGATAGAAAGTTACGGTTTGCGCTGATATTTTGGAAATTTTGTGCTCTATTTAACTGTGCAAAGAGAAATATAGCCTCCTATTTAAATCTTTTATGCAATGGCGCAATATCTGTTATGATGTCAAACATCGCCCTCTAGCTACTACGAAAAAAATTATGGAAACAACATTTAAACTGGAAATCATTAAGGAAGAAAAGCTCTTTTAAACGAGCCCTTAGTTTGTTTAAATCGGGTAACCCAAACCAGAGTTATCCTTATTTTAATAAAAGCAAGTTTAACCTCCCCCCACCACTTTATTTTATGAGATAGAGCAAAATACTCTATATCAAAAAAATTATAAATTTCTCGATGATTAGAATCAAAGATATTTAAACTCAAGAGATACAATTGTTTACCTTTTTCCTTCATCGGCCATTATTCTATCTTTATTTTCGCATCTCACTTTCACCGAAAACATTTGCCAGATTTACCTGTATATTGGTATTAGTATTCGATTAAATACCACAACCAATTATTAAGTAATAAATAATTTCGTTATATTTCTATAATATATCAAGTACATTAATTTGCTAACGTCAATTTTTTCATTTAATGCTTAACTGCTTAATTATTTTAAATTTTATAATGGAATAAAAATATCATGATCGTGTTTCTTTTAATAATAAAAAGCAGTTTGGCAACGTCAGTTTTAGAAATATGCCGGCGTAGTACAACGGATTTCGATGATAAATGAAAATTCCTAGATTCTCCTGTTGCGATGTTGCTATGCCGCCGATCAAGCTCCGTATTCTTTATTTGCAGTATTATAGTATTTTTGCGTTATTTTGTGGACTTCTGTGGACATTAATTTGAAAATATGGTGCATTCATGTATTGTGTACAAGAGAGTGTATCATTTAAATCCAAATTTAACTTTTCACCGGTAAATAAAAATAAGTAGGGTTAGGTATATTATCATATCCTCTTCTCCGTAGATCAGAGGCGGACCTAGACATAAAAAATAGCAGATTTCTAAATTATATTTATTTTTAGGTTTATTTTTTAAATTGTATATTTATTAATTTATTATGTTTTTTAAATTATATATTTATTAATTAAATTATTTGTAGAAAAAAGGTACATGTGATACATACTAATTACTAATAACTTAATAACAATTTCTGTTTCCCTTTTAAGAAAGGGTATTGAATAAGTATAATCTAGGTACCCACTTGGGTTTGACAAATCATTCCTACCTTTTGTGAAAATTTTATTGGGGTGTACCAAAAATGGAATTTTGCGGCCTTTTTTCCTTTGCAAACCAGAGAAAAAAACTAAATATTTTTTAAGACTAAGGGAAGAACCGTTTACTAGACAATGGCCATTTTATTTTATTTATGATTTTCTAAAATTATCGCTAGACTTTTCTGATGACGGTTTTAACTACAGAGCAGACTCCCTCTATGAACACTATTTGTTCTCATTGTTTCATATACATACGTTGACCATGATCATTCGACTAGGCAAGTGCATTATTTTAAAATTCCTCAACACCGAACAGCTAACTTCCAAAAATCTTTCAGTTTCATAGCGCCACATTTGTGGAATAATATTTCTAATAACTTTAAATTTAAATCCTTTACAGATTATAAAAAACAAATTAAAAATCATTTATTAAATTCATAACAATAAATCATTTAAAAAATTATAATTTCTTCGACTGATTTGTGAGGTTCTTGTTCTTCTGATATGCCCGTCATTGGTTGCTGTTCCGGTTACACTGTTTCGTTATGCCTCTCTGCTTATCTCCGCTCATCCCTGATAAAATTATATTTTCACTTTTTTTTATCTAATTTTATTTTTTTTAATTCTGTTATTTTTATAATTTAATTTATTTCTATTTTGTTTTTAGGGTCGCACAACTCTGGTACTTTGTATCATTGTATCGGTTTTTTAATCGCGGTGCGATCCCTTTAGACACACATTTAGTAGTGGTAAAATTCATATAGGTATATATTAAATATACATATAATAATAAAGTTTTTATCAAAAATATGTGAAGTCTACAAATATTAGTTTTTGGTAAAATATTGTGTTACTAGGTTAAAATAACTATTTTATTTTGTTATTGCTAATAGAGCGAGTCTCATTCACCGGAGATGAACAAGGTTTGGAACAAGATATTGAAACTGCATTTACTAATACACCCAAAATTTGATATTTTATTTAATAAAATAAAGTAAAAAACGCTTATTGATTTTTTTAATCGTTATTCTTATGTGAAAAGCCATCTTATAATAAAAAATTATGCCGGTTTTTATTTATTTCGCTATCCTCCCTCAACTTATTTTTTTTTGTTATTACTATCCTCCTTCAACTTTTTACAATGCGACAAATATGTAAGTGTTATTATTTTTTTAAAATTTATTAAACAACTATTTTAATTTCCTTAAAATACTGTCGATCGGTACGCCACTGGAAAATTGACCTCAACCGTCTATTCTTTGTAAACAACTACATTGTTGCCGTTGCACCGATACCCTATTCCCTTCTTTGTCCATTCTCTCTCGCACTCGTTGGTTTTCGCAAACCAATGTGTGATGAAGGTTTAGAGCGTTTTATGAATGGATCGTTGTATCTCCCGAGTTTAAATATCTTTGATTAGAATAGTAAGTAATATTTAAAATACCTGTTCACCTGCATATTTTTGAGGAAAACCCTTTTTTTGATTAGCTATCAGAGAAACGCCTCCAGGCCGACATTTTTCGAACTTGAAAATAATTTTCAGAGATTTCTCTTGGTCGATTTACTTATTAGAATTTTTTTCCCAAAGTTATACGATAAGTAGTTTCTGAGATACAGCCGGCGGCGGCGCCCATTCTTAGTTGGCCACCCGGTACATTAAAGTTAAAATTCACATTTTTTTAATATTTAAAAAATGTTAATAATTATTTGGAAAAACTATTAGGGATATCATATTTTCTAGTTTTGATCTTGTTTGATATTTCAAGATTGTATTACATTTACAGACGAAAGTTATATCAATATATTTTTATTAATTAATTACGTATTATTTTTTTATATTTTGTAAATTAACAGGTTCCCG